TGGGAATGGCCATTGGGAATGGGAATGGCCATTGGGAATGGGAATGGCCATTGGGAATGGGAATGGCCATTGGGAGTGGAATGGCCCCTGGGACCGGGGACGGGCACCGGGGGTGGCCACGGGGACCAGGAGTGGCCACGGGAAATGGGGATCATGGGAAATGGGGATTGGGAAACAGGAGTGGCCACGGGGAATGGGGAGTGGCCACGGGGAATGTCGGCACGGAACGCGGAGAATCCGCAGGGAACGCAGAAAATCCGCGGGGAACGCGGCCTCAGCACAGCCCGGCCTCCGGCGTCAGCAACCACACCCCATTCCCATCCCCATCCCCATTCCCATCCCCATCCCCATTCCCATTCCCATTCCCATCCCCATCCCCATTCCCATCCCCATCCCCATTCCCATTCCCATTCCCATCCCCATTCCCATTCCCATTCCCATTCCCATTCCCATTCCCATCCCCATTCCCATCCCCATTCCCATTCCCATCCCCATTCCCGTCCCATTCCCAACCCCCATTCCCAAGCCCCGTTCCCAATCCTATTCCCGATCCTGATTCCCCATCCCCATCCCCACCCTCATTCCCATCCCCATCCCCAACCCCCATTCCCAATCCCGTTCCTGATCCCAATTCCCCATCCCCATTCCCAATCCCAGTTCTCAAACCCAGTTCCCAATCCCGATCCCAATCTGCATTCCCAACCCCAGTTCCCAATCCCATTCCCGATCCCGATCCCGATCCCGTCCCCATTCCCAATCCCATTCCCAATCCCGATCCCGATTCCCCATCCCCATTCCCGATCCCCATTCCCGATCCCGATCCCAATCCCGATCCCGATCCCCATTCCCAACCCCAGTTCCCAATCCCATTCCCAATCCTGATCCCAATTCCCAATCCCCTTTCCCGATCCCCATTCCCGATCCCGATCCCCATTCCCAACCCCAGTTCCCATTCCCGATCCCGATCCCGATCCCCATTCCCAACCCCAGTTCCCATTCCCAATCCCGATCCCGATTCCCCATCCCCATTCCCGATCCCAATCCCGATTCCCCGTCCCCATTCCCGATCCCGATCCTGATCCCAATCCCGATCCCAATTCCCAACCCCAGTTCCCATTCCCAACCCCAGTTCCCATTCCCAATCCCGATCCTGCTCTCGATCCTGCTCCCGATCCCGATCCCGATCCCGATCCTGATCCCCATTCCCAACCCCAGTTCCCATCCCCATTCCTGATCCCGATCCCAATCCCGATCCCGATCCCAATCCCGATTCATCGTCCCCATTCCTGATCCCGATCCCGATCCCCATTCCCAACCCCAGTTCCCATTCCCGATCCCGTCCCCAATCCCGATCCCCATTCCCAATCCCATTCCCAACCCCAGTTCCCATTCCTGATCCCGATCCCGATCCCGATCCCGATGCCGATGCCGATGCCGATGCCGATCCCGCCTCCTTACGCGATGGCCTCCACCATGTCCAGCCCCATGCGGATGGCGCAGGCCGCGTGGTCCTCCCGGAATTCCGGCAGCCCGCAGATGCAGTAGTAGCAATCCCCCAGGATCTTGATCCGCAGCTGGTGATGTTTCTGGGAATTCCCAAAATTCCCGTCATCCCCGCCCGAAAATGAAAAAAAACCGGGAATTTCCCATTCCCGAACCCCATTTCCCACCCGTCCGAGTGGCCGGGGAAAAGCTGGAAAAATTTGGGATTGTCGGATTGGAATGGGGTGGGATTAAAGGTCCACGAATCCCATTCCGGGATTTTGGGACCCAGGACGCTCAGGATCCATCCCGAGGGATTTTTATGGAATTCAGGGATGGAAAAGGGAAGGAATTCCAGGAAAAATCGAGTGTGGCACGGACATGAGGGGTTGATTTGTCCTTGGGAATGTCCAAGGAAAAATTGGAAAAATTTGGGATTATGGCATTGGAATGGGATGGGATTGGATATCTATGGATCCACTCTGGGATTCTGGGATCGAGGACGCTCAGGATCCATCCCGAGGGGATTTTATGGAATTCTGGGATGGAAAAGGGAAGGAAAATGTGGGAAAAATTTGGGAATTCCAGGGAAAATCAGGTGTGGTGTAGAGGGGAGGGGTTGGTTCATTCCCTGGGAATGTCCAAGGAAAAGTTGGAGCAGTTTGGGATTGGGATGGGATTGGAGATCCACGGATCCCATCCCAAACCACTCTGGGATTTTGGGATCCAGGACACTCAGGATCCATCCCGAGGGGTTTTTATGGAATTCTGGGATGGCAAAAGGAAGGAAAATGTGGGAAAAATTTGGGAATTCCAGGAAAAATCATGTGTGGTACAGAGTTGAGGGGTTGGTTCTTCACTGGGAGTGTCCAAGGAAAAGTTGGAGCAGTTTGGGATTGGGATTGGAGATCCACGGATCCCATCCCAAACCATTCCGGGATTTTGGGATCCAGGACGCTCAGGATCCATCCCGAGGGGTTTTTATGGAATTCAGGGATGGAAAAGGGAAGGAATTCCAGGAAAAATCGAGCGTGGCACGGAGCTGAGGGGTTGATTTGTCCTTGGGAATGTCCAAGGAAAAGTTGGAGCAGTTTGGGATTGGGATGGGATTGGAGATCCACGGATCCCATCCCAAACCATTCCAGGATTTTGGGATCCAGGACGCTCAGGATCCATCCCGAGGGATTTTTATGGAATTCAGGGATGGAAAAGGGAAGGAATTCCAGGAAAAATCGAGCGTGGCACGGAGCTGAGGGGTCGATCCATCCTTGCGAGCGCCCAAGGGAAGGCTGGCGAAATCCGGGATGGTGGGGGCAGGAATTGGGTTTTTTTTTGGGTGGGGTTGGGAATTCCGGGAATTCCGGGAATTCCGGGAATTCCGGGAACGCCGACTCACGGCGGCCAGCTTGTCGAAGCGGGCGAAGAGCTCGTTGAGGAGCTTGACGAGCTCCTGGGCGCTGCAGGAGGACGAGAGCTGCGTGAAGCCCACGATGTCGGCGAACAGGATGCTGCGGAATCCCGGGAATTCCCGTCAGGCGGCCGATCCCGGGAAACGGCAAAGGCCGGGATAACGCCGGCGCGGCCTCGGCACCGCGGCTTTAGCGGGAAAGAAATCCGGGATGCGGGGAAACGCGGCTGGAGAAACTCAGCTCCCAGCGGCCGGTTCCCGTTTTCCCAAAAAAAACAATAAATCCTGGATTTGTCGATGAAAACTCAATCCCGACTTTCTCATTCCCATTTTTCCCCAGAAAATCCTGGATGTATCGATGAAAACTCAATCCCAAATTCCTCATTCCCATTTTCCCCCCCAAAAAAAAAAAATCCTGGATTTGTCGATGAAAACTCAATCCCGAATTCCTCATTCCCATTTTTCCCCAGAAAATCCCGGATGTATCGATGAAAACTCAATCCCATTTTCCCAAAAAAAAAAAAATCCTGGATTTGTCGATAAAAACTCAATCCCGACTTTCTCATTCCCATTTTTCCCAAAAAAAATCCTGGATTTGTTGATGAAAACTCAATCCCGAATTTCTCAATCCTATTTTTCCCAAAAAAATCCTGGAT